GAACTCATAAAATATGACCTTGAAGGACATTATGCTGAGTGAAATATCTCAGTCACAAATGGACAACTACTGCATAATGCCACTGTTATAAAACATGACTGGGATGGGGGTTGGGAAAACTAAGAAAGAGGGTACAAATAATAAACACTTCATTAAAATATGAGGGGAAAAAACTATCCAAAAGAAATATATGATTAGGTATTATTTGCATGACAACAGTCCAGAATAGGATATGCATAGCAAAGTGTACTGGGAGGTGGGGAAGGAAGAAATTGTGCAACAGTGAATCTTTTTAAGAGAAAAGTGAAGTGAAGGGGAAAATGTGCAACAATGAATGAATGGAAATCCAAGTTTTCTGTAAACTTTCATTTAAATATAAACTTTTAAAAAAGGCGTTAGTGGAGAACTAATTTCCTAACCTTTTTCAACTTTTAGAAGCCTCTGTACTCTTTGATCCACTTCTAATGAACTGGCACATCATTCTGACCTGCTTTCATCATCACATCATCTGCTTTCACTCTCTGTGCTTCAGTTAGAAGAATCTTGAAATTTCAATTATTCCACTGGGATAACCCAGGATTCCCTGTTTGCCATGTAAATTAATAGCCATGCATTCTAGAGATTAAAACATGAACATCTATGGCTTTAGTGGTAAAAACTTGGTCTGCCATCTCAAAAGCCCACAATTCATATCTACCAGCTTTTCTGCAGGGGATAGATAGGCAGTCTCCTCCCAGATGATTAAATGCCTCTGAAAACCCACTGGAGGTTCAGCTTTGGGTTGGTTCTGACTTGGTCCATAATAACAGCTGCCACGTGCCACCTGTTTTTACAGATAGTTTGGGAAATGATTAATAGACAATTGCTGTATCTTCTTGATGATGCATTAGAGTATTCCTTTGGGCATTATAGTTGTCTATTAGTTTCTGACAACAGAAATATATACTGCATTATCTAACCTACAGCATTTATAAACATAAGTAAAGAACAGTAACAAAGTAAGGACAGTTGTGCATATAAATTACGACATAATATATTGACATTTCACAAAATAACTGATCAAAACTATAGAAGTGTCAAAAATCACAAAAGAAAAGGCACTACATACTGTAGGAGTCTAAGCAAAAATAATAGCTAAATGCAATGTGAGATCTAGAAAGGATCCTAAAGGAGAAAAAGGACATTAGTAGAAAACTGGTGGAAATCTGTAGTTTAGTTAATAAGTTAATATTAATTTTTATTCTGAAAGCTATGTAAGATGTTAATGTCAGGGGATATCACTATGTTTGAGGATAACTTTTCCCAGCAAAAATAGAAAATAATACATCTCTCTTTTGTGGATCTCAGTAAGAACTTTGGTTTCTTGTAAAGTACTCTCTCTTAACCGGAAGCAGAAGTTATCACTTTAATTTTTTTCTTGCCGGTGTGATCCTGTGACCACTGGTTCAACATTGTTGTGAAGTATAGGATTACATTGATTCAGACTAACATATAGCACAACACAGACTCTAGCAGAATATAGATTATTGACAATAACACTTAAATAATTTCACGTAAAACATAATCGACACAGAAGTTCTACAGGACACGTCACCTTCCCTTGGAGACACCACAACTAAACTTAAGAGACATGTCAGCCGTCAATGTTTTTGGAATCACAGAAGCCAAGAAAGGCTTAAGATACAAACTGCCAGATCATGGGTTGGACAATGGAAGATATTTTTCTGAAGGGACTTGGTAGAT